ACGCGGCGGTAACGGCGGCGGACATTTTCCACGGGACCTCGTTTTTGTCGTCCCCCCAATAAAACGTACACTCAACCAAGAAAAATATGCAGCATACCATTAAATAACAATAATAAATTTAAAATTACTTATTGATATTATTTATTTAATACATTTATATATTTAAATATAAATGTTAGCGCATAGATAACATCTAAGTCGGGTTATTCACCAAGATGCTCTATTTCACGTTTATAGATAAACTAGGGGATTCCCCGAGTTGCCCTATATGATGTATAAAGCAAGAAGAATCAATAGAAGATGATAGTTTAATAAATGAAAGTATGGTAGGTTGCAACACTCTTAAATTTTGTGCTTCGTTCCGTTAATGGATCTTGGTCTACTATCTTTTCAGCAAGATTATTTGTTTCTTGTATAAATTAATTAAGTTCCTTCAACGTTAAGTCTAAGTCTGCACTGGACAACTCTTCCTGTTCTTCATTGACGAGAGATTTGATATCAGCTGCTACAATAGTATGAAAATCATCTCCCGGTAGCAACCATGCAGAGAGGACAGCTCTGTCTATTGCGTCATCAACTTCCCTTGCACTTTCGGCAGTTTTTTCCATGCATTACTCACAGTTGATACTTTAATGTTACTTAAAGCTAGTTTTATACATGAAATCGCATGGTCAATATTGTAAAACTTCCACACATCTTTTATTGAGATAGAAATGTCATTTTGTAATTTCTCATGTACAAAACTGAACGTGTGCCAGATATAATGACTATTAAAAGCTTTTATAACACCTTGGTCTAAAGGTCGTAACAAGGATGTTGTGTTGGGGGAAGAAATACCATCTCTACGCATGGGTGATCTAATTTGAGAGTATCTACTGGATGAGATGGGGTATTATCCAAAATCAATAAAACGTGAAATGCAAAATTTTTAGGTTTTAGATAACACTCTACTTCTTTAACGAAATACTCTTTATACCACTCTATAATTACCTGAAAAGTCATCCAAGCTTTTCAATTAGCTCGCCAGTAGGCAGGAAGAGCTTTTTTGTCCTTGTTCTTTAAAGCTCGTGGATTAGCTACTCGATATATTAACATTGGTTTTGTAATAAAGTCTCTGCTTGCATTTGCACAAAATAAAAGTAACTCTATCCTTAGCTGATTTAAAAGCAGGAGCTACCTTTTCATTTTTTGAAATGTATGTTTGTGTTGGCATTTGTTTCCAATAAAGCTCGGTTTCACCCGCATTAAATACTTGTTCATACTTGTTCTTCTATTAATTTTATTATTTCTCCAGGAAATTTTACGCCTTGCTGATGATCAGCTGAAGCTGATTCTCTATACAACGTGTTTTCTGCTTGCTTTAAATTTACAGTCATCTTCAGCACAATCCGTATCACCCGAAAAATGTAGATAAAGTTCTTTGGCTTTATCCATTAATCTAGCGCTAGTTAATGATATTTCTGCGACCTTGGTCTTCAATCCAAAGATAAAGAGACGTTACCTTTAATGATGAAGGGTAGGTATTCCACTTTTTACGCTATTTCTGATTACATCTTCTTGTTTCTTTATAGATCTTATCGTAGATTCATTGACATTAAAGACCCGACCTACTTCGGTAGCTCCTTTCCCTTTCCGGAGTATATCAAGAACTTGAATCTTTTTTTCTAGAGTCATAACTGATTTTGCACGTTTGGCAATTAAATTTATTTCCGTCGCATGTCTTTTTATTGCCATTTTGAGTACTGTTGTAAGATTACATACTAATAAAATTATGGTGAAAAAGAATCAGGAGAAATACTAACCTGAATGAAATACTGAACACAAAAATAAGCACCTAACCTAACACAAACATTAAAATCGATCATAAATGAGGGATTCCCAGAGAACCCAGTAAACCCTTCGTTTTAAATAAACAAAAAAAAGGACGTACTTGCGTATTCGCGAATAATCGAGGCGTGAATGTTGAAAAAAGTAACAACATTTAAAATGCGAATCCGTGTAATTTGAAGCGAATTTGTCTAGTTCTAGTGTTAACTGTAATGCTAGCGTTAGTTCTACTTTTAGTTGTTATTTAGCGTTAGATTGTTGTAGACTTTTCATTGATCTCAAACTAGAACTAACACTAAACCTAGAATTAGAAACATTCGGGTTTAGCCGTAATATTGATGTATATTTTTCAATGAACTAAATCTAGAACTGACACTAGACGCACGGCTAAACCCGAATATTTCTAGTTCTAGGTTTAGTGTTAGTTCTAATGCTAGTGTTAGTTCTAGTTTTAGTTGTTATTCATCGTTAGATTTGTTTTTCATTGTTTTTCATTGAATTAACACTAGAACTAACTCTAGATCTAGAACTAGAAAGTTTTGGATTTAGCCGTGCGTCTTCAGGAATACTATAAAGCCAGGTAGACTGAAGGCATTGATGTGGATAGCTGACTTTTGGCTATAACGGACACTCCCTTTCACGTAGTACGTTAGTACGTTATATCGAGGTTTTACTATATTTATTCATAAAATTCATAAATAAGGAATTTTGAAGATAAACTTAACTTAATTTCAATTTTATAATACTTTTATAAAGAAGCATGGAATTTTTGGTTGATTATACAAACCGTGGAGTATGAGTTGAGAGTCTTCTTGGTAGAGCGGTGAAGTTGTCGGGGTAAAGGAGGGAGTGCGAAAACGGGATAAAGGGGATGAAGGGAACGAAGGGGAAAGACGGAAGGTCGCGACGGCCGAGACGCCGGCTGGTGGCACACACAAGGAAGTTCGATCCCTTGGAAAAAGAGGAGGGCGGTGGACGGGGAAAATCAATAAGAGAAGAAAGCCGGTTCCGGAACGCTCGGCTGGCGCTCAGATTCGTGAAATCGAGCCCAGAACCGATATCCGCCTCGCTCGGCGATCCTGCAAAATGGAGAAGAACCACCGACGACGACGACGCCACCACCGCGGCATTACCGCTGATGTAGATGAGGACCGATCGACTATTCAAATAGCAGACCGGCTTTTATCCAAACCCTCGTTTTCCTTTTTGGTTTATTCGACGAAAGCTTTTACTTTTATATAACATTGTGGGTTTTCATATAAAAATTACCTATAATTTTCTAACTTTCTTTCCTTTTTTCATTACATATTCTGTTTATTACTACATAATCGAATATTCTCATAGTAATTTTGACATCCATCAAAATTGGGCAACAGATTGTTCGAACCAATCAAATCACTAAATCATCGCCGTCTCATTACCCCGATTGGTGAGCATATTGAATGTTCCCGCTCAAACAAACGCTTAATCATTACAACCCCAAATTGTTCTAAAGGTTGATAACGCGCTCTTCGGAGCAGCCCTGTGGGACTCTATTTGACATATTTAATTTGACTGCAGCCGCCCCCGGGGACCATCTACCCTCTAAGGGCGACAACGTCGACAAAATAACGCATATGTACCCTCTCCGGATGAGATTTGATATGTTCATTCTCTTTTGCTTTATTGTTGTTGTGATTCGGACAGTTTTCTATATGATATTTGAAAGATTTCAGTTTTTAAATTGAAAAGTGGGTTAATGGTTCCAAAAAAGGTTAAGTTTCCATTTAGAAATAAAAATTTTTATGATCGCTTTAACATTTTAACATTTTTATTGTAGTAATACAGATTTGTTTGAAATTATGTACGCCCACGCATAACTATATCAATAAACTTGGTACTGGGTGCCGTTATAAGGGTAGGACAAAGGGGAAAGTCAGTAAGTAGCCTGTATTCTGCTCATAATCCGGTGGCAGCATAAGGGGTCGTCGGGCAGAGAAGGCAGTAAAAAGGTACACGGGAGCGAATTACCCCTGGGGCGCTCGGCTTATATCAATGGGGTTGTTATTCTGACTCGCCCCCAGGGACCAGAAATCAACTATTCATCAAGTGCAACGCGGAGGTAGAAGGACGGGAATGGATCGGGGAGTGTGATTTTTCTTTCTGGGCCGAGAAGGCGTCGTCGTTAAAACACCGCCGCTCTCCGCTAAGTGGATTAGGACGCATCAAGGGATGTGGTTTTTGGTATTACTTTGGATTATCCTATTTAGGTGTTGCTGTACTTAATACACCCAAACAATTCTCAGTATGAAAAGAAGACTTAACCACCCCAACTTTTTAACAAAACATAATTCTTTTTTAAATGTCCCCATAAAAATTAGTCATTTTGTAGAACCCTCTTTTATAAAAAAAATTAAACGATAAACAACGTCAGCGTGGGTAGTTTCCAGAGAAGCTATGCCTCCGAGTCCGAGGGTAGTTTCGAAGAATAATGATATTTGCGGGCAAGTCCGCGCACGGGGGCTAGTTTTTATTGGACCTCCCAAAAAAAGACCAATAAAAACCGCACACAATAAGATCGTTATAAGTTGGAAAAACAATCCGAATCTCCGTCGCCCTAATTGCGGCCGCATAAAAACGGAGTGCGCTTCGCCATTGTTTGGAGTAGTCTTCCGCTGTTTCTACTCAGCATGGCGTCATGTCCGTTTCCGGAACCCCGCCGCGACACCAGCGCCCTCACAACCACCATCCCCCCGTTTCCCCCCCACGACTGAATCGTATTTATCATCTCCCGGACCCGTCACCCTGATTACAGCCCTTATACTTCGTTTGCAGAAAGTTTAAGGGAGTTTTAGAAAGATAATGGGGGGAAGAAAGTGGTCTTTTTATGCGCCTCCACCTAAATTTAGTTGAATTATGATTCGATTTATGACTCGGTTTTGTTTGAGACAAAAAATTATCCTGAGTCAAAAAGTAACAAACAAGTGTATAAAGTATGTTAAATTATTCAGGCCGTCACCGGAGTGGACGGTTTTTTATTCGGGTCCGGGCGGCGGAGATTGTCGTCAACGTCGAAGTAAACAAGTTCTTTAAGTAATTGTTGCTGTACACGATCCCGTGTCGAGTTTTCGTTCGGACGACTACGTTCCCAACGTAAGGTATACACACGTGGAGTTCCGATCGATTTATCTTACCTGTTAATCGATGAGACACTGGGCACGTTATCTTGCGAACAAATGCCTTCCGCCAGCAATCTGTCCCGTATCTCCCATGCGAACATGGTCGGATTCTCTCTCTTGTAGTTCGCTATCGCATCCACCACCGGCGGTGTTGCCACCTTAGGTTTCGAGCCGCCGATAACACCCGCCTTAAAACTACCCGTTTCATAATATCTGCAAAAGAAAAAAAAATATATAAAATAAAACGAATAAATAAATAAATTATAACAAAAAGATTTATTGTTTGAACTATAGAGAGTTAAATTGTCCGTCAAACATGTCGGACCTACTATGGTTATTGGTCGGGTTTTATTCATGATTCACGTTCGATAACGCCTTTCAGATTGACACCATAATAGATATGTGTTAATCGATAATATCATTGATTCCGTTGCAGGTGGAGTACGGACAACACCTCACGTTTCGCGCAAAACCGACGAATTATATTTATGAACGTTATAGCGTGTAACAACGCGGGCAATTGCGCTCCACAAATCATTGTAACCTTTCGAATATTTGCAAAAATCGAAACCCACTTTCACTAAAACCTACAGCACTACGAAAATTCAATAACAATATTATTTATTTATTTTTTATTTATATTTGTTTCATTTTAGGTTGCGCAACGCGGAGTTACACAATTTTTGATAATATAATAAAGTTATTATGCTTTGATTTTTATATAAAAAAATAACAATTTTATTCAATCTTTTTTTTTTTTCGATAAACTTTAATTAGATTTCCAAATTTTATTTTAAAATGTTTCATAATTTTATTAAACCGTAGTTAAAAATATTTTTAGAAAGTATTTTTTTTTTATTTTTATTTGAAAAACTTGACTCATGGGATTAAAATTATTGCCATCGAAATAGTAAAAGTCGATCGAAGAATCTATCATAAAAAAAGCATCACCGGAAATAGATCGTGGGGAGGCGACGTCGCTTTAAGTGATTATGGTAAGTTCACGAATGGATATATCAAAAGAGGAGACTGCCGGCACGTGCCGACCAAAAAAAAAGACATGAAAGTTGCATATAACAGCGTTATGTCGTATCGTTTGTTGTTTGTGTTCAACGTTATTCCTATTAAAAGGAAAATTGAAAACAAAAATGGGAAAATAAAAAAAGTTTTTTAAATTCTTCTGATTCATAATATTATTAGGAATACAAATATCGTAACTTTGGGCATCTGATAACAAATTAACCTTGAAGTATTAGTGACTTCGTATCAGCATCACATAATTTTGTTAATGAGAAAATGTCAAGTTTTGTGCCGAGTAAGCGTCATTTGCGGGAACTTTTGATATACTTCTTTAATTTAAAGACATCTGCAGTTAAGGCGCATCGCTTGTAGAAGCATACGGTTAGATTGCTCGACAGCCAAAACGAATATTTAATGAACAATTAATAAGATTGAGCCGATCAAGGAAAGACGCGCAAGACTACTCAAGGCACGAAAAAATTATTCTTCTAGATGATAATGCTCGTCCGCATGTTGCGGCGCCTGTCAAAACCTATTTGGAAACACTTAATTAAGTCCTACTCCACCCGTCGTATTCATGCTCCTTCTGATTATCACTTGTTCCGGTCGATGACACATGGCCTGTCTAAGCAGCACTTTACATCATATGAAGTTACTAAAAATTGGGTCAATTTGTGTATAGGCACAAAAGATGAAGAATTCTTCTGGCGAAGTATCCGAATGCTGCTAGATAGATGGGAAAAAGTAGTGGCTAGTGATGGATAATACTTTGAATAAAAAGTAATGTACCGTTATTTATTATTAATTCTCTGTTAGAATATTATATTGTTATTTTTGGATCGGCAGTAGCTGCTTTTGCATTTAATTAAGTGTGTTGTCCTTATATAGATTAAATTTGAAACTGAAAGTTTGTTTTTTTATCAATAGCTTTACATAAAGTCACATGAAATTTGGCCATTTAAATGTTAGGTCCCTGCCTGCTCACTTTACAGTCATACGACACGTTATTGAGCATGGTTGTCTCAATTTCAGGAAGCTTTGTCATATTTGGTACCACAATTGCAAGATTTTATTTGTCTTGGAGATTTTAACCTCAACGAGCTAAACATCAATGGTACATACGGTAATCGGTATGTTCCCATTTTAGAGCAGTTTGACTTGCAACAAGTTATAACAACTCCTACAAGAATTACGGAAACCTCAGCTGCGCTAATCGATTATATTGTTATAAATATTGATGCCCCAGTGACTGACTCAGGTGTGGTTACCATACATGACATTTCTGATCAGTTGATCACTAATATACCTTATTCTTGATTTTACTGCTCAAGCTATACAACCTAGAATGGTTACATGTCAGGATTACAAGAACTTTGATCTGAACAAATTCACTTCTGATTTGAATGCAATACCGTATCAATGCGAAAGTAGAATTTTTTAATAATCAGAAATTTTCCCACCTCGTCCATGCTTCGCGAAAAGTGTGCATTTCTCGCACATTTATTTGCTGGAAACGATTCTTGTAAATTATGGAATTCTATTAAATCCCTGGGTGTTATTCCTATCAGACGTCAAAATATTTCGGACACTTTGGGTACACCTAATCAAATGAATTGTTTTTTTCAATCGATACAGGTAATTCCTCGGGCGATTGTGATTTGCAAGATTTCTATAACAATCATCGAATGTACACATGTAAATTTTAGCTTGACATCAGAAGAGAAGATTGCTCAGTTAATAATTTCCATTAAAACTGATTCAAATGGTAATGGTAAAATTAGTAAAAAAATGCTAGTACTATGTTGTCCAACAATACTTATGTCACATCATGAATTTTTGTTTGGAATTTTCCGTGTTTCCTGACCAATGGAAGATTGCTTTGATAATGCCTATCCCAAAAATAAAAACCCTTCAGGTCTGAAATGTATTAGGCCCATCAGTATCTTACCCATTCTATCAACAATCTTAGAAAAGCTTATTGCCGAGAGGTTAAGAGCTATTGTCACCGAAAATAAGGTGGTGCGAGGCTACCACCTAAAAAGTCTGGGTTCTACCCTGGCATCAATTGCACTACTGCACTTCTGGATATCACTGACGACACACTTGTCTTATTGGACTTTTCAAAAACATTCACATACGTTACATCACGAAACTTCTGTTTCAGCTATCTCTTTGTTCAAATGTTACCTCTGTAACCGATTTCAGTGCGTGATCCATAATAGTTCAGGCCTTTATTGTACCTGATTTATACGTTTCAGCTTTTCTCCTGCTTAAAATATTGTGATTATCATATGTACGCTGACGATACTCAAATATATTATAGCTTTAAATCTGATGAAGTAAATATGCTAGTGGATAGGATAAATACTGACTTGGACAATTTAGCAGTATGTATATGCTTCTCGCGTCCGTCTAACGGTTAACCCTTCCAAATCCTCAGTGGTTATTTTTGGGCCCAGCAGCGGTAGCAGATTGATAGATGACTTACCTTTATCAAACAATTTTCATCTGGTTTTGTAAGGCGCTAGACTACTGACTTTCTATGAAACTCACAATCTTGGTGTTATTATAGACTCTCGTCTGAGGTTCAAAAAACATATTAGTAGGATTGTTAACTCGCCTATTGCACTCTGAAGCTACTTTATAACAATCGACATATGCTACACCGCTGACTTAGAGCTCATTTATGTGAAGCACTACTTAGTGCTCTCTGTTGTCAATTTTAGCAATGCTCTTTATAATGCATGCATCGATGTTGATGATATTCGTCGAATTCAGCGGGTGCAAAATGCATGGCTTCGTTTCATATTTGGCATCAAAAGGTACGAGAGGATATCACATACTTTGGGTGGGTTGGTTGTTTGGGTATGTCGCGACGTATAGAGCTGCATGTTTATTTCATCGAATTATTATGCATAAATCTCCTCCTTATCTTTATAATAAAATTACGTTTAGAACCGATGTCCACAACCTTAACATTAGACACAGGCATACTTTAACAATACCTAAACATCGTCTAGAAATTTTTAAAAGATTCTACTCTTATATTGTGTGACAACTCGGGGAATACCCCGAATTTATCTATGTTGAGGAATAACCCAGGTTAGTTTCCATCTATAAGTGTTAAAATTTATATTTAAATATATTGATGTATTAAATAGATAATTTTATGACTTAAAAATATTTTGTTCGTTATATCGAGGTTTTACACTGTTATTATTGGAAAATTACGGAAATGATACAAAAAATTCAGTATGAAATTTATTATAAAAGCAACGTGCTAGATGTAACAACCGATAGAGTGCTGGTTAAATTGAAAATCGTAATTATATAAGTACGGTCCGAAGGCAAATAATTATTATTAATCGTCTTTTAAACGGACACGGCCGGGTATAGAAGAGGCGGAAACCGCGAAAGCGGCAACAGAGGCGCAGTCGGTAAGGCGCAACAGGTAAGGCAAATTAAAATAATTGAGATGCCCGGGGGTATTCGTTAAGGTAATTTATTTACTTAACCGGAAAATACATTTGCCGCTGCTCCTGCTGCTGCTGTTGTTACTGCCGCCACCACTATGTGTTCGGATACGATCGATTAATGCGTACGGGTTCGACCGTTCACACCAAAACCGCGTACGTGTGCGAAGGAAAGATTTACCGATAAACGTGAAAGTGGATGTCTAAAAAGAAATACATTTCAACAATTCCTGATGCTAGATTAGTTGTAACAAATTATTATCAAGATAATCATTTTTTATCGACATAGTTAAGATGTTTCAATAATAATTAATGAATCATGAAATGTTGAAATTGTTCACTGCCGCATTGCGAAGTTATCGGACTAGAAAACCATTACAAATGAACGACGTTGATGGATACATGGATGCTGCATGAAAGTAACGAACTGCAAAGAAACTTCACACTATAGCGCATCTATAACATACTGTGATATTTCCTCAATAAATTATCGGATCCACTTAGCACACGTTGTTATAAAACGATTCTTTATACTTATAAAAAATGGATATACTTTGTCGCGGCCTCTATTATCCACCCATTTTAACAAGATCGTTTCTATAAATTAAAGCTCCGTATACGTCCAATTACCTTACGGCATAAAGCAATGGTAATTGATTGTAATATTGGTTGAACTTAATTACGGCGACCGGACGAGATGAGATCGAGAGAGAGAGAGGGAA